CGCGGGGCTGTTACGCTAGAGTGTGGGCTTCGGACAAGCGGGATCAAGCCGGATGAAGCGGGATTAAGCGGGACTAAGCGGGATCAAGCCGGCCTTCGGACCAGGGCAAAATCAAAATTTGACCTCCCAGGAGTTGCATCCGAATTTATGTACCCGGGCCCCCAACAAGAAGTCCCCCGAAGGCCGACCTCGAGAGAAGGCGCCAGGGAGCCTCCCAGATGGGGTCCGAGCGCATGGGGTCGGAGGATCGCGCCGCATCGCCACTGCATCCCAAGTACATCGGCGCTGCGTCGGCGACGTCGGCGACGCATCGGCGCCGTCGGCACGGAGAAGCTCAGGCAACGCATCGAGCCGCATCGCCGATGCATCTGCGGTGCAGCCGCCATCCTCCTACCTCACCAACTCGGACCCCATCTACGAGGCCTAGAAGACAGGTCCATCGGAGGCCGAACTCCAGGGAAAGCGCCTGGATTGGCAAGATCAGATCGCCGAAGATCCGGGGACCCGTTCAGCTCCGGCTGCCCCGCGAGCCCCGTCACCTGGGTGGCGACATCTGAACCCTACCTCCACCAACCATCGATTCTCCTGAATCGATGGGCGGCGGGGGCAGGGATCAGATTTCGCCACGTGTTCGGCGAATTCCGAACCCTACCAACACCCCCGACGTCCATCGAGTTGCTCGAACCGTTGATCGGCGAAGGTAGGGTTCAGACTTCGCCGCCGACTGGACGCTGCGACCTCATGGTTCAGGCAAGGCCAGCGCACGGGCGCGCCGAGGCAGGACTGCGCCCCAGTGCGCCGCACAAGTGCGCTGGGTGCTCCACGCAAATGCGCTGGGTTCGGATGATGGGGGAACCCAAAGTCGGGTACACGTAAGAGTAACCCTGGTAAGAGTGACCTCTGGTGCGCGGCTTTTGGGGGGCCGCCTTGTGACCCAATCCAATCGCGCAAGACGCTACTATCGCATCGCGTTCAGCGATCGAGGGGCCCCCATGGGCCCGCACCAAAGGTCCCTCCGGCGAAAGGTCACTCTTTCTTCCAATCGACAAAGGTACCGGTTCCGCTACTCCCTGGACCTCTCCCGGGGTGCGTTCTGACCAGGATTATCCCAGGCGAATCCCGCGGTGGCGACGAGGGCCGCCCCGGAGGCCCACAAAGGGCGAGAACGAGGGAAGGGCGGCGGTATGGGCACCTGGTCCTCTGAACTGTCGCCCCCGAGTCACCAAGACGCGCTGCCCCGCCTCCAGCGAGCGCTCGGGCGCGCCCGCGGCGCCGGCCGGGCCTGCCGGCACGGCCGCAGCCGCCGCGTCACGTCGCCTCTCCCGTTGGCCCGCGCGGCGCGCCGCGCCCGCGGCAGCAGCGGATTTCGCCCGCGGCGGCGCGGGAGCGGCCGCTTGCAGGTTGCAGGGGCGGACGTTGATCGACGAACAGAGGCAGCAATGGCACAAGCAGAAGCTTTCGGAGGTCCCTGCGGATTTATTGTAGATCCTCCTCCTTCTCCTCCCCCCTTTTCCTCCTCCTCCTTCTCCTCCTCCTCCTCCTGCTCCTCCTCCCCCTCCTCCTCCCCCTTCTCCTCCTCCTCCTCCTCCTCCCCCTCCTCCTCCCCCTTCTCCTCCTCCTCCTCCCTCCTCCTCCTCCTCCGCCTCCTCCTCCTCCTCCTCCTGCTCTTCCTCCTCCTCCTCCTCCCCCTCCCCCCCTCCTCCTCCCCCTCCTCCTCCTCCTCCTCGCATTCATCCTCGTCCTCCTCGCATTCATCCTCCTTCCCCTCTCCTCCTCCTCCTCCTCCTCCTCCTCCTCCTCCTCCTCCTCTTCTCCTCCTCCTCCTCCTCCCTCCTCCTCCTCCTCCTCATCATCAATCATCATCATCATCATCACCACCACCACCACCACCACCACCACCACCATCATCATCATCATCATCATCATCATCAGCATCATCATCATCATCATCATCATCATCATCATCATCATCATCATCATCATCATCATCATCATCATCATCCATTATTTTCCTTATAGATAACTCCTCCCTGCCGCACCCAAAGGCAGGTCGAAAGGGCGAGCCGGACGTTGCACCTGAGACTTCCTGACCATTTATGACCCGAGAATAAAGTCGCGTTGAAGTGCTGAGAATACTGTTTTGACACGCTTCAGGATCTTCAAACGGTTGACTCCCAACGGTGCACTTCCCTCAATGGAAATGAATCCTCGTATGGGCCTGTGAAGAGGGAGCTTTGAGGGAGGGCTTATTCCAACATCGTTGATGGGTCTTGGGTTTACACTGGTCCTCCTCCCCCTCCTCTTCGACACGCGCGAATTTCTCGGATCGGCGCTGGACCCCTCTGGCGGCGCCTCTGGCGCCGCCCCTGGCGCCGCCCCTGGCGCGCTCCGCCGCGCGCCAGAGAGGGGGTCCAGCGCCGATCCGAGAACTCCGCGCGGAACTCCGAAAGTTTTGGTTCAGGCTGCTTCTTGTTCGCCGAGTTGAGGCATCCCCCGTCGCCAAGGGAGGCGGCCCACCGGCCCGACGAGTCGCTCCAGCGGACCAGCGTCCCGATGGTGCCGTTCAGGTCTGCGCGGTCCACGAGCCTCACAAAGATGACGCGCTGGCCAGGCACGAGTGTGCCTGGGGCAGCGTCGGGGCTGGCCGCGGCCATCCACGCAGCCCGATGCACCCGATGCGGCTGCTCGAGCCAAGGGGGCTTGAGCCAGAGCTACTCCAAGAACAGCCAGGTTTCCTCGCACCGCGGCGCCACGAGGCATCCGCAGGACCATTGTCTGACGCTACGCGCTGGTCCAGTGCAGGGGCGGGGGGAAACGAGCAGCAGGGGGGAGGTACAACAAAAAACTAAAACAGCACAGGAACGGACATGACCACCAGAATCGAGCAAAGCTCCGGCGGACAAAAGTGACAAGAACGGCCTGGAGCAGCTGGGAACACTGGAATCATAAGGCCACGAGCAACTGCCAGACTGTTCCAATCGGAGCCACCCGGCGACCAGGTGGTTTCGATCTGCATGCGCGTACAGGAAGCCAGGGTCCCCGAGAAGATCTGGACCCTCGGGGGTTGCGGGTGGTCGGGCAGAGTCTGTTGGCGAATCGTTCAACACCCACAAATGCCTCGTGTGGAGGCGACCGCTCTTGCGACAGATAGGAGGCGCTCGGTGCAAGCGCTGCTCGTGGAACACTGGAGGCTCTCTCAGATGCAGACCTGGTGGAGCACCCAACCCTCCGATGACCAGATGTCTACAATTTGTTGAGCCAAGTGAAGCAGCCCATGAGGTGTCGCATGACATCGGCACCCCTCCGCTGCAGATATGTGTTCAGTGTCCTTGTTGGCGGCCGATGGGAAAGAAAAGCATTAACCCCCGACTACATCCACATCCACGTCTAACTTCTCCTCCTCCTCCTCCACCTCCTCCTCCTACTCCTCCTCCTCCTCCTCCTCCCCCTCCTCCTCATACTCCTCATCCGTCTCGTCCGCCTTTCCCTGCTAATCACCATCAGTCCTTCGTCCTGCTCGTCATCTCGCTCATTCGCCGAACCCTCCTCCTCCTCCTCCTCCTCCTCCGCACTCTCCTTCCAAGTCGTTTCCCCTCGTCCTCCTTCTCCTCTCCCCGACCGCCTCCCCACCTTCTCTCCCACTTCATTACTCCCTCAAAGACTCTCAACATCATCATCATCAAAAGCGTCGACATCATCATCAACAACCTCATCATCAGCATCAGCATCATCATCAGCAGCAGCATCATCAACATCGTGGTCGTCCTCATCGTCAGCATCGTCATCGTCATCAGCAGCATCACTCCCACCACCACCATTAACATCATCACCACCATCAGCATCATCATTAGCAGCAGTATCTTCTTCATTATCATTGTCATCATCAATGGATGTCCCATCGGATGTCCCATCAGCAGCAGCAGCACCATTGGAATCATCAGAATCGTATGTTGCTGCATCATCAGCATCATCACAATCACCATCAGCACGACAGTCATAATCACAAGCAGCAATCATCATCGTGGTCATCACCATCACCATAATCATCATCACAGAATCGTCGCCAGCATCAGCATGACATGCATCATCAACAACAAATTCATCAACATCACCATCACCATCACCATCATCAGCAGTATCGTCCTCATCAGCATCATCATCATCCTCATCATCAGCATCATCACCCCCAGCATCCTCATCCTCATTTGCATCGGCGTCATCAGCAGCATCAGCATCGATATCGTCATCGTGATCAATATCTGCGCCATGATCAGCATCGGCGTGGCGTCATCATCAGCAGCATCATCAGTAGTTCGATCAATAGAACCAGCATCACCATACACATCAACACCATCAGCTGCATCACCAGCATCATCAGCATCATCAGCATCCGCATCATCATCACCATCAGCAGCAGAAGCAGCATTACCATCACCAGCAGCATCACCATCAGCATCATCAGCAGCATCATCACCGCCACCGCCATCATCATCGCCAGCAGCAGCATCGTCATCATCATTAGCAGCATCAACATCATCATCAGCATCAGCATCACCCGAGCGTTCCAGGCCTTCCCTCGCGTTCCTTACTGGGGCAGCCCCTGGTTGGAACGCCCTGTCCCCTCCTCCTCCTCCTCCTCCTCCTCCTCCTCCTCCTCCTCCTCCTCCTCCTCCTCTTCCTCTTCCTCTTCCTCCTCCTCCTCCTCCCCCTCCTCCTCCTCCTCGTGCGCCTGCAGCTGCCCCCGAAAGCCCCCCTCAGCGCCCCAGGACACCCTGTCCCCTCCTCCTGCTCCTCCTCCTCCTCTTCCTACTCCTCGTGGGCCTGCTGCTGCCCCCCCCCACATAAGGTGTTACTGCGGCCCGTTGGTTGTTACTGCGGCCCGGTGGGTGGTTGTATGGCCAGGGGTCCTCCGGAGTGTTTCAGTTTTCGAAGACTACTACTACTACGACTACTACTACTACTACTACTACTACTACTACTACTACTACTACTACTACTAC